CCCCACCGTCCACCCCCCGCCCCCGCCCACTCCCCCCCCGCCCGCCGCCGCCTCGCCGCCGCCGCCGCCGCCGCCGCCACCCCACGACGTCGCCATCCTGGCGGCATACTGCGGGCCCGACTACTCCTCCACCGACCCATACGACTACGCGGCCTGCAGCATGGTGGTGTCTGGCAACCTGGTGGCTGGCGTGGGCGTCCTGAAGATCGGGTTCAAGGACTCGGCCTACTCCATGCCTAACAGCGAGGAGGTGGCGCCCGGCGGGCCGATCACGTCCTACACACGCACCCACTTCTTCCACCTGGGGGGCATCACCGACGCCTGGGTGTGGTATACGGACAGCACCGGCCACCAGTTCCCGGGGATAAGCGTGGCACTGCCCTTCAACCAACCCCCCATACCGCCGCCCCCCAGCCCTCCCCCACCCCCTTCGCCCCCCCCATCGCCCCCGCCCCCCTCCCCACCACCCTCCCCACCGCCGGCGCCCTTCCCGCCACCCCCGCTCGGCGTCATCTCGGCGACATGCACCTTCACCTCGGGGTCTACCTGCTCCTGTGTGGTGGTCATCAGTGGGTCCTTCCAACCCAATGTAGGCATATTTGAGCTCGAATGGTCATACGGTGGGGGCCATAACGCGTTCGGCTCACCCTTTGAACCCCAGGGATCCCTCACCACCGAAACTGAGACGGTGGAGAGTGCTCCACACCATGTCCGTCCCCGATACATTGGCAAAGACGGGGTGGTGCAGTTCCTGCCTGGCTTGGACCTCATCTACACCAACGCGCCCCCACCACCCCCGCTCGCCTGAATTGGCCCCACCTCCTTCCCCTTTGCTTCGCCATCCAGGCTACCTTGCCCCTTGTAGACCTTCAGCGTGCCCACGGCGCACGCTGCAGTGCAACTTGCACCCCGCACTCCTCCGCTGCCTCGATGCATGCCGTTAGCCTGCTGGGATCCTGATGAGCCTTGCCGCAACCCATGTGATACTCGGTGTGCAAGGAGCCTAGGCGTGGGCCCACGCAGGGGATACATTGGTTGGAACCGATTATGAATTGGCATCTGGGTGCACTGCGGCTCGCGGGACTTGTGTGCTAGCACGATTCCTCTGTTGCTCAATTCCTGTGCCACCAGGCTTGGGGTAGGACAAAATGCAGTCACGCAGCACAAGTGCTGGACACCAGCCACCTTCCTGCCCTCCTCTTGCTCCCTTTCGGTGGGGAAGCCATGGCTCTTGAACTCTACCTGATCGGTGATCCACTGTCCGCAGTTGGAGGGACGGTGCCCCAGCATGCTTGACACCCCGCCGTCTGGCTTGCCCTTCCAGAGGACACGACAAGCACTGACAGAAAGCTCACGTGGTGGGGAGGGTCGTGGCGGGCGCCTGGCTTGAGATCTGCCGGCTGCAGGGCCAGGAAATTTCTGTGGCCAGCTTCCTCACAAAGCTTGCAAACGGTGCGCTGCTGAATGTCTCGAGTGCTGAGCTGGCGGGTATTATCAGAGCATCCTATCTCTTTGCAGAATCATGCTTGTGACTGCTGCATTCGATGCTGCGGCCAAGGTGAGCTCGATGCCTCCAATCTGCTGTGCAGAGGATGGGCGGCCTGCATGCCGAGCCAGCATGACATGCACTGGTCCCTGAGCTGAAGATGGAGGCCCAGACCAAGCAGTGATAGGCGGACTTGGCTAAGTCCAGTAATGTGGCGGGCAGAGTGCGCTGACTTGACCCTCAACAGTTCATGCTGGCGGGGAGTGGAAGGGGAGGGACAGGGAAGGAAATGGGAGGCGCGCAAACCAAACATTCCAGCGCTTGCAGAATCATCTCGACTCCTCACATCCAGCGTCGCGGACAACGCATGTGACGTTGTCGACATCATATACAGCTCATCATTAAAGCATTAGGGCCTGCGAGAAGGCTTTGTGTGACGCAGTAGCCATCTATTTGTGAAGTCACGCTCGAGCGTCTCTCCTCTGCCGAGCGCGTCCGCTTGACCACTCCGTCTGCCGGAACATGGTGATGCCAGGCGGGCACAAGGCAGCGGCCTCCCTTGTCAGCCAATACATGCCCAGTACACTGGCACAAGGACCCGGGATGCTGCGGCCTTGTCGGTCATTCCGGCCTGCCTTCGTGGGCCTACACCCCCTCGGGGGGCCTCGGTCTCGCGTGCCTCGGCGGTCTCCAGCCACCGCCGCGGCCACACCCTACAAGCCGCCATCAGAGGAGATCGCCAGTGAGGGCCTGCCATCTGAAGTTCGACAGAGGGCGGAGACGGCCATCCTGAAGCGGGGTGGGGCAGTCACTGTGGGCGACGTGGCAGCTGTGGCAGGGATCAGTCTGAAGGAGGCTGAGGATGCCTTGCGGGCCCTCGCCAGCGACTCCCTGGCCAATCTGAAGGTTTGTGGTTTGGAAGGGTCCACGAGGGGTGCCTGAGTATGCACCTACAGGAAGTGGGCCCATGTTTATCATGCCGCCTGGGCAACACCGCTCGTGTGCACATCAGGGGAGGAATGCCCAGCCATATAGGAACTCCCTGTCGCTTGTCCTCAGTGCCTCCCACCTCCCCCTACACCCACTCACATTCTTCCTCCTCCTCCACCTCACAGGTGTCTGATGAGGGCGAGATTCTGTACAGCTTCGACCCCAACTTCAGGGACAGGATCCGGAATAAGTCGCTGCGCATCCGGCTGGAAAGCACGGCCGCCGCCGTCAAGGACACCGCCTCCTACCTGGCGCGCGTGACCTTTGGAACCGCGCTTCTGGCCAGCGTGGTCACCGTGGCCCTAGCCATCACGGTGATCGCCTCCAGCGGGAACCAGAGCAATGACCGGGATCGGCGGGGCAACGGCGGCTACTACCGTGGAGGTCCGCAGTTCTACTTCAACATCACTGACCTCCTCTGGTGAGGGTGTTTAATCAGGTTGAGTGGGTAGTGGAAGGGTGGGATTCTTCCCCTTTTCCGGCACCTCTGCCATGGCACATTGACTGGGTATGATGATTCCCACCTCCCCTCACCTGCTCACCCGTGGCAGGTACTGGAACCCTCGGTACTCCCGCGCACGCCAGCCTTCGGCTGCAAAGGGGCAGGGCGGCATGAACTTCCTGGAGGCCATCTTCTCGTTCGTCTTCGGAGACCCTGACCCGAACATCGCCTTTGAGGCCCAGCGTTGGGAAAAGGTGAATGAGATATGTTCCGGGTAGTAAAGAAAGGCGTCGGGGGAGCAGGGTGGCTGTTGGTTATGAGTCTGCACCCCATATGTACCTTTCACTGTTCTCAGACGGCTGCACCTGCGTAGCACTGGTTCCTCATCGGGTCCTCTGCCGGTGCCTTCTTGACGGGGCTGGCGCGGTAGGGCATTTGACCCCTCTCGCCAGTACCCTCAACCTGCCAACCCTGTCATTCCACCCTCACTCCACAGATTGGCCAGTACATCCAGAGCCGGGGAGGCGTTGTGGCCGCGGAGGAGCTGGCCCCCATGCTGGAGGGCCAGGTGGGCAACACCACCAGCATCGCAGTGGACGAATCATACGTGCTCCCCGTGCTCACGCGCTTCGGCGGCTCGCCGGTAGTCGGCCAGGACGGCGAGATCCTGTACCACTTCCCCACCCTGCAGCAGACCGCCGCGGTGAGCTGGGATCGAGGGGGGAGATGCAGGGTGCTCGGCATGATTGCAGCCCTGTGCAGCCCTGACGACGGCCCCCCTGCCACCCGATGGCTCTGGGACCAAGCACCTTGCGGCCCCCCTGCCCCCATCTTCTTGATGTTTGCAGGCCCAGAGGCTGCCGGCGGTGCAGCCCGAGCTGGTCCAGGAGAGGCCCGTGCAGCTCACGCAGGCCAATGGCGGCCAGAAGCTGGTGGCCATCGCTCTGGGCGCCGCCAATCTGGTGGGCGTGGTGGCCCTCGGGGGCATGCTGGGCTCGCCCCAGGGCTACTACGCGCTGGCCCGCAACGGCCTGGGCTGGATCCCTAACGCCATGCCCTTCCTCCAGGTGGGCTTGGGGTGATTTTATTTGAGGGGGAAGGGGTGGGGAGGGGGGGCTCCAAGGGGCGGGGAGCATGCGCGCAAGAGGTGCATGAGCACCTGGGGTGACTGGGTGCAGAGCTCAGCTCTTCCTTGATCCACCTGTGGCGTGGGGGATAGCCGCTGATGTGCTAGATTGGCACAGGCGCCTGGCAGTGCCTGCACTGGGGCGAGGGCAAGTCGCACATGGTCCCACCCCTTCACTCACACATCCTCCACCCTCCCATGTCCCACAGGCTTACGCCTTCTCCTTCTTCGCCATCCCCGCGCTGCGAGCGCTGAGCCTGCGTGCCCGGAACGCGGGCATCGAGGCCCGGAACCAGGCTCGCCTGGCAGCGTCCCGCCGGTTACGGGCCCCGGACCCCCAGCTGGCCACCAAACTGCGGGCCGCCCAGGTGGAGGCCCAGCAGCGCAGCTTCCAGCGCGACCGGGTGGTGTACGCCACCGACACCCCCCTGCCCACCTCCAGCCGCGACGAGCCCGACGAGTGGGAGGCCCGACTGGCGGCGCGGCAGGCGGCGCGGGGGCGCGGTGCGGGGGGCCGGCGCGGTGTCCCGGAGCAGCGGCGGGGGGCGGAGGACCCCGTCATGGACCGCAAGGGCGGGTCCCAGCAGCAGCGTGGGCGGGACCTGCCCTCCTGGCTCCGCGAACGCTGACGTCTGGTGCTGACATGCGAGTGGTCACTTGACGCTGTTGGTGAGGGCTTCATCCGCGTGTTGCTCCCAAACACGCCCTGAAGGGATATCGCTTGCATGGGACCTTTGAGCAGGACCCTCTATGCAGGACCTTGGTTACCCAACCGGCCCACTGTATGTGCCGTGGAGCTGTCCTTCTACTCCCATGCAAAATTCTGGCACCCCTCCTAAACCCTTCTCGCACTGACTGCCTGGCATGCCTGTACAACCCCTCCTCCAGACACACCACGGGATGGCAGCCCTAAGCAGACATGGGGCAGGCTCAGCGGAAGAAGGCAACCGACAAGAAGTTGAGCACCGTCGTCCCAAGAGTCAGGAGTGTGTTCTGCAAGGGAGAAACTAACCAGAATATGGATGGGATGGGTCTCCGTGCTTCTGTAGACAGAGCACTGCCGGAGCCCTGCACGCGCAATCCCACCCCCCAGCCCCACCTGGTTCTGGTAGAACCAGAAGGGCAGCACGCGCCCTGTGGCACTGGCGATGCCGTCAGGGATGGTGAAGGTGAAGAGGCAGCCCAGCGAGGTGGCCAGGAAAGCGAGGAAGAAGCCGCGCAGGACGTTCTTCATGCCTGACGTTTTGCAGGACAGGGGGAAGAGCGAGTGTCAAGAGTTGTGTGCTCCTGGTAGAGGGGGTGGTGGGGTCTTCATGCATGCACACTCCATCAGGCCACAGCCATCATGCCATGGACAGCACAGCAATCCCATGTCCGCACAGGCTGTCCCCACCGCTGTCCCTGCCCCGACACCCTGCTCCACCCACCGCCTCCTGCTCCGGCCTCTGCCCCAGGAGGGGGCGGCGGATTGATCTCGTTCTGCTTCAGCAGCTGCCCAACAGCCCCGCCCATTGCACCTGCGTGATATAAGAGAGGGAGGATGACGCTTCGTCACGCTGACGGCAGGGACACTGCCAAACCTCTCTGCACGTCGCAGCGCTGCACTGTAAGCACGACTTCCCATGAGAGTCTAGCCATGTACACCACACAAATGCCCCCCCCTCCCGCACCGTATACGATGGGCAGCGTGAGGGAGGGGTTGAACACCCCGTACGCGAGGAAGAGGGCCTGGGCGATGGCGCTGTACATCAGCAGCTTCCGGTTGGCAGGGTAGACGCGGGGGCGCCATGGGAAGATCTTGGCACGATCCGCATACAGGATCTCCTTGCCCACATCAGACTTGCCCTGCGGGGATAGCACGGGAAAGAGCTCAGGCAAATAAACAACTGTCGCAATCATGATGCTTAGGGCAACAACACCTGTACCTGATACACTTGTAGAATGCCACGCCGAGAAGGGCATCAAGCTCACATGCCAGCGAGGCATTCAGCTATACTCCATGTCCATGTCACATCCTCACTGGCTACTGTGCTCACAGGGGCCTTCCAAACCCCTAGAGACCTGACGTCCAGTGCATTGCACCGACCTGAAGTCTGGTGCTGAGGGATGACATCATGATTTGGGAGTGAGCATTTTCGATCCTGGCGGTCGCGTTTTCGTTGCCCTTGGCTTCCCTCAGCTTGTTCCGGTAGGCCCTCAGGATGGCAGTGGAGTCTGCTGAACGAGGAAGCTCCAGTATCTGGCGGGAAGTCAGAGGAAGGTGTCATATTTCCCACCTCTATGCCACCAATGCACCAACCCAGAGCAAGGCCCTAACAACACCCGAGCACACCTTGTAGGGATCCTCGCCGGCACCTGAAGCATAGGCAGCACGCACAAAGGGTTTCTGTCTCCTCGAAGGAACGAGTCGCGCCGAGAATTTGTGTCTGGTAGGCACGGGCATGGGTCGCAGTGTGAGGTGGGATGCCAGGCCTGCCATTGCTGAGACGCTCGACGTCACGCCAGTTGGGCGTCAAGAGTTGTATAGGTAGAAGTGTATTTAATAGATGCTTGCTTCCCGATAATGCGGGGCGTCATCCCTCTGTTGGAGCCGACCATCGTCCATCGAATCCTCGTGATGGGATTTGCCTCACCTCTTTCCGCGCGCGCTCTGACTCGCTTGGTTTTGCATCGGTACGGCCCCAACACTAAACTGTTTGGCTTTTTAGGGTCTCCTTCCCAGGCAGAAGATGGTGAATAACAATGATCTGATCTGAAAATGGTTTGAGAATGCTGTCGCGATGGTATAGTCGCGATGCGGCCCAGGGAGGATCCACTGCTCAGCTTTAGCTTGTCGGTATGTCGCACGAGAAGGCTGGCCTCCTGCCGAGCAGCATCGCCCTTGACACCACATCAGCACCTGAGACTGATCAGAATACGAAAAATACCTTGAGTGAACCCAGCTTCATCCAGGTCTTGCCCAGATGGTGGCGACTCGCGAAACTGTGGTTTACAGGTAGGTGGCCTTAAACAACCAGGAAGTGCTTAAGGCAGGGTTTCGGTTATTCTTTTCGCCACTCGTCATGCTGAAGGGCAGCTGGTCGGAACATGAAGACCACTTGACCAAATTCTTTCCAAATACTGTTGAATACACAGGGGAGAACCGGGCGATGGCCTGGCGACTGGCCATCGCCTCAACCGCCCTGTCCATTGCCACCACCCTCCTCCTGCTCAAGCTCAGCTACACGCAGAGCAACCTGTCCTCCAACCTGTCTGAGAAGTCCGAGTGTGAGCGCGGGGGCATTCAGGACCGGGGCGGTGCCTTCCATGACCTGCCTGCTGCGCGAGTGAGCTTCCGTCCTATACCCTCAAGGCTCACCCCCGGCCCCCAAACCCAATCACCCAGCCGGCTTCTACTCGGCCGTGTGGGAGTTTGTGGGAGTGGCGGCCGTTGCCACCCCCCTCTTTGCCCTGTCAGAGTGGGTGGATGGCCTGCTGGTCATCCACTGGCGGCGCTGGCTAACGGGGCACATGCTGGACGCCTACTATGCTGACCGGGCGTACTACAGGATCATGCTGTGCTCCCTCCAGGGTCTGGACAACCCCGACCAGGTGCAGGCAAAGGAGGGGGGGGGGGTGGTGGGGGGGCTGATGCTGGTGAGGGTGGTATGAGATTCAGCCTCGGAGCCATCCCTCTCCAGACTTGTTTGTCAGACTCCATCATGTACCTGCAGCCTCACCTCCCCACTTTCCACACACCTTTCGCACTCTGACTCCATTCCCTACCCTCCCCAAACACCAACCACCCCCTTTTGTCTCCCCCAATCAAACCCAGCGCATGTGCGAGGACGCGCGCAGTTTCGCCTCCTCCAGCGTGGCCCTCATGGTGGGCCTGAGTCGCAAGCTCTTCTACCTGGCCGCCTTCTCGGGCCTGCTCTTCAGCATCGCGCCGCGCATGATGTGGTTCCTCCTGGCCTACGCCGCGGCCGGCACCGCGGTCACCGCCGCTGTCTTCGGGCGCGGCCTCATGCGCCGCACCTACGAGGTCCTGCGCCGCGAGGCCGACCTCCGCTTCCAGCTGGTGCGTGTGCGCGAAGCCGCGGAGTCGGTGGCCTTCTACTCGGGCGAGGCGCGCGAGGCGGGCGTCTCGCACGCCAGGCTGGCGGCCGCTGTGCACGCTGCGCTGCGCCGGGTGGCCTGGGAGGCGGGCCTGGCGCTGTGGGTGAACGCCTACAGCAACACCACGCTGCTGGTAGGTGTGGGTGGGAATGAGGGGGGGGGCTTGGATTGGGGGAGGTCAGGTGTCAGAGGCCATAGAGTTCGTGTGCATGGGTGGTTGAAGGTGTTGAGATCGGAGGGGGAGGAAAGGCGGATGCCACGCAGGGCCGGCCGCCGACACTGCTCGACTGCAGCACCGGTGACGCACCAGGGCACACAAGACGAATCCCCCTGACAACACCCCCCCCCCCTCCTTCTCTTCCTTCCTCTCCTCCAGGTCCCCTCCTTGCTCATGGCGCCGGCCTACTTTGCGGGCCAGGTGCGCTTCGGCGACATCACCCAGGTCTCCTTCACCTTCCAGCGCATCGAGTCCGCGCTGTCCTTCGTCGTGGACAACCTGGCCGCGCTCTCCGGCCTGGCGGCCCAGACCGAGCGCCTGGACGAGCTGCTGCGCGCGCTGGTGCCGCGCGGCGACCCCGGCGCCAGCGTTGCGCGCGGCGCGGCCCGCGCCGGCGCCGTGCTGGAGCTGGAGGGGCTGTCCCTGTGGACTCCGGGCGGGGCCCAGCACCTGGCGGACGGCCTGGACCTGAGCCTGGGGGCGGGGCAGTCGCTGCTGGTGATGGGGCCCTCGGGCTGCGGCAAGTCCAGCCTCCTGCGCTGCATTGCCGGTGAGGTGCTGAAAGGGTTGGGCGATGTAGCGGCTGCATGCGTGCAGGGTGGGATGTATGGCCGGGCGAGGGAGTGGGGAACCTGCAGCGAGCATGCCACCGCTGCTCTCAGGCCAGGGAGGGGGCGCCCCAGTGCGTTCTTGGATGAACAGGCGGGACAGCATGGCCGCTGGGTGCATGAAACGCTTGAGATACAGGCAGCACACAGTCTCCTGGTGTCTCAATACACTTGCTGAGCTCATGTGCTAATCCCTCGATCACCCACCCTCACCCGCTCCTCTACCCTCCCCCCCCCTTCCCCCTAGGGCTGTGGGACGAAGGGTCAGGGACTGTGCGCACCCTGCCGCGCGACTCGCTCTTCTTCCTGCCCCAGAAGCCATTCATGTGTCTGGGCTCCCTGCGGGACCAGGTCACGTTTCCCCACGTACACACACGCGGCAGCGCCACGGACCTGGCAGCCCTGCTCGCTGCCGCACAGCTCCCCGACCTGCTGGAGAGGTGAGGCCGGGAATTTATGAGGGGGATGTGCGCAGACGCGATTGGGGCTTTCTTTGTGCGCCTGTGCTCTGTTCGTTCGAGACCCGCATGGTCAGATCCTGCCCACCCTCACACCCTTCCTCGTGCCCCTCCCAACCCTCTCTGCTGGCCCAGATCTGGCGGCTGGAAGGCAGAGGCCGACTGGGCGCAGACGTTGTCCATCGGCGAGCAGCAGCGGGTCGCCTTTGCGCGCCTGCTGTACCACCGCCCGGGCCTGGCCTTCCTGGACGAGGCGACCTCGGGGCTGGACGCGGCCACCGAGGATGCCATTTACACAGCACTCGCCGCGACGGGGGCAAGCTTTGTTTCAGTCGGTGCGTGGGGAAGTAGGGGGTCTTGTGTGGAGGTGAAGGGGACGCCAGGACAGAAGTGGATGGGATGACAGAAGGAGGGCTATGGGTGGCTGGGAGGGGAGCAGGAGAGTCTTTCATGAGTACCCTGGCTTGACTCTTCAGAAGGTATCAGGATCTTCCACGCGGCCTTGCGCCGTGGTGCCGAGCAGCCGTCGCCCATTGTGCGTGTATGTCAGTGCCTCGGTGTTCCAGAAGCACCCGCTTTGTGGAACCTCATATCCTGTCCTTCAGAACTTATCCACCTCCCACCAAATTACGCCATCAGGCCACCGCCCGCAGCTGGTTCAGTGGCACACGCACGTGCTGGAGGCCCAGGGCCGGGGCAGGTGGGAGCTGCGGGACGCGGAGGAGTACCTCGCCAGCAGGGGCCGAGCCGCGAGCCCCCAGGCGTCGGGCGGCGGCAGCATGACGCTGCGCCGGCACACTGTGAGCGCCCGCCTGGCGACCTGACCTCCTTGACTTGCCCACTTTGACCAAATGACAGGCTTGAAGGCAGGGGTGATGTTACATTACACAGAGCACATTGGGCGGGTGGGGGGAGGGGGGCAGGGCATGCCGGGCATTGCGTTGCCGGAAAGTCACTGCCAGGGTGGCCCGTCTGGGGCGGGGGGTCGTGTCAACCGGGCCTGTTCTGAGGGGTCCAATGCCGGGCTCGCAAGCAGGCACATGGTGATTGCAGGGTCAGAAGAAGGGCGGTGGGCCAGATAGCCCAAAAGTCAGGGGCAGGTGCGTGCACGTCAAAACACCACCGCCGCTCAAGGCGCTGCGATGCTCGGCGGTCTGGGTGGGTGTGAGGTTGGGGTGCTGTTGGGTGATGGGAGGGATCCAGCCGCGCCGAGGCCCCTCCATACACCCTGGCCTGGAAAAGAGCAAAAACCCCTCTTCTCTCTGGAGGGAAAAGGGGTGATGGAAATGTGGGGATGTCGGGGTCAAATGACGCGCAGAGCCCGCCTCCCGACGCGGCAGCCACACGACACAAGAGCCTCACGCGCTGCGGTTACAGCCTCACGCCACGACGCAGCAGCCGGCGTCGCCGCCGACCGCCCCCGAGCTCTGGTACTCCTGGCGCGGAATTTGAGCCAGCAGCGTCTCAATGATCCTGCAGATCTCCGGGAAGGAGGGCCGCTCGTCGGCGTTGGGCGCCCAGCAGCGCTCGATCAGCTCGCGCAGCTCCTTCTTGTGCGGCCCCGGCTGCGCCAGTGTGATGAAGTTGGGGCGCGCGTTCTCCAGCGCGGCCAGGCGCGCGGCCTCCACGGGGTCCATATCGGCGTAGGGGGGCTGGTACTCGAACAGCTGGTACACGATCATGGAAAAGGAGTAGACGTCGACGCGGGAGTTGTATGGCTCGTGCCGGAACACCTCGGGCGCCATGTAGCGGTACGACCCCGTCTCGCCCGTCAGCTTGAACCGCTCGTCCAAGTGGAAGTTGGCGTGGCGGTTGGTGGGCAGCGTCTTGGACAGCCCAAAGTCGGCCAGCTTCACCACGCCCGTGTTGAACACCACCTGCGCGCGGTCCTGGTACTGCGACCCAGACAGCATCAGGTTGCCGGGCTTCAGGTCGCGGTGGATGACAGGGGTGGGCTTGCGATTGTGCAGGTACGCCAGGCCGCGCGCCGCGTCCAGTGCGATCTCCAGAGCGCGCCGCATGGGGAAGGCCTGGGGGTGTGGGGAGGGTGGGGGCGAGCATTCGCGGACGTCGGGGGACTCGAGCGGGCGGCGGGGGGCAGGGCAGCCAGAAGGCGCGGATCGACGCGGCCCCATGCGCCCGCTGCAACCCACTCCCGCGCGCAAGAGCGCCACGTCTGGATCCCTCGAGCAGACCGGCCTCACCCACCCTGCCCCGCCTCATCCACACCTGCGGCATACGGAAGGCGTCTGCCAGCGAGCCGCCGCTCATCAACTCGGTCACCAGAATGTACGGCTCCTTTGCCGTGCAGGCTCCCAGGAACTGGGCAGGAGGGGTGAGGTAAGCGAGGTGGATGGGCTGTCGCCGTACCTGCACTCGGTCAGATGACTTCGCATCTGCGAGGTGGTGCCCACACCCACACAGCGTGCATTGCCGCAGGTCTGAGACGGCGCTGCTGCG